TGCAATTCCCACTGAAACTTTACTACATATTATACATATGAGTGATAGTAGTGATGACATTTACGTTAAGTCCTGCTTTCACACCATGTACCATCACTTACCAGTATATCTTTAAAAATCGCATCTTGGTCATTGGTTGAAAAATATTAACATTGCAATAGCATACAAGAAAAGCATTGATGCAAAGCATCAAAGGGCGACGCCAAAAGAATTTGATCCAGGTCTGCACCTAAATACTTAACGAAAGATGTGTACTTTATAACAGTACCATTACATGTGACCTGGAGTCTAGGCCAAGTTTAAGTTGAAACTTAAATTAAAAAGAATAGACATGTCTTGCCACGATGCAAAGACAATCTATAGTCAATTAACCAATCTATTAAGACTCATACTTATAATAAGAAAGAATTTCTTCAGATTTATTTTACCAGACACAAGGATTCCTGAGTCATCAGCATGTAATCACAGGCACCAGTATCGGACATGTGAAGAAAAAAATATGACCAGATTGATAAAAAAAACTGTGTTCATAAAAACCAAAAAAAAATGTAAATAATGACCCCTTTAAAAATATACTTAGAATAATTAACTTAAAGTATATTTCTAAAGGGGGTCATTATTTACATTTTTTTTTTGGTTTTTGACACTTTTCAGATGAACACAGTTTTTTTATCAATCTGGTCATATTTTTTCTTCCCAGGTCTGATACTCGTGCCTGTGCTTATAATAAAAGCTTATTGCTTAGTTTTGCAGACATGTCATTGACATATTAGACATAGAGCAGAGAACCTAAAAATAACATACAGGGGGACCCAATAGTAAAGGTAACATGATACCCAAACCACATCACGCCAGCTGCGTCATCAAGATAAGACTTAAACCATTAAAATTAACATATGCAGAAAGCTTGGAAGTTTCATGAGAAAACAAAAACCACAGTGCAGCATAGTGGTGAATCAAACTGTAATCGAATGCCCTTTGTAGAAATAGATCATGCTCACTGCCTTCTGTCCAATCTTCAGAAACTTTAACGATGCAAATCTGTTAATGAAATCAGAACATGTGTCCAGTTAGAAAAATAACACAACAACTTCTCTAAACCCTTTGGACTGAAAACTGCCTGAACCATGACTCGAACCCATAGATTCAAAAGACCAAACTGATAGCCTATCCGCAAAGCTACAACATTTCCCCGTTTATAATGAACACTTCTAAACCACAACATATTTCCCCACTATTTTGATTTGTGTCCTTGAATTTCTTATGTTTACAGAGCATAGTGAATATAACTCATGCTTATATGCAGTCACAGGATGAGAAAAACTTTCAGCTTAAGACCAGAACTCGAACCCTTGACCCACTGAATAATGTACCGCAGCTGTAGCGATTAAGCTATCTGGCCGCTTACACATTTTCTCCCCTAAATAATTACAGTTCTAAACCGTGACATATACTTTTAGATTTTTAAATTAACAGATAATAAATTCTTAATTAATAAATAAGAAAAAAAACTTACATACTCATTGTTTGAATTAAAATATTAATTTATATAAAAATTATTATAATTGTATACAGTAATTATTTTTACTAAAAAGGGCTTAGACAGTTATTGGTTGTGCCATTATTTTATTATATTAATTATATTAATTTGAAAGTGAACATAATTGTGCTAATACATGTACAATATCAATTTTTGTACAGATAAAAAACTAACCTTTTTTCTATTATAAGAAATTTTATGAAGGCTGATTTGTAATTTTGCATCCAAGGGCACGCGGGTGAAAACATGAAGAATGGACAACAAACGAAGACACTTTGTGTGTAATTTGTATTTTCTTTTTTTCATCTGGCGCCCGGTTTACTTTTTGCTACAAGACGACATGTATGTTGGTTTTTCATGTGGGCACAAACCAACCCACTATACTAATTTAGTGGCAAAAATTTAATTCAAGGGGCAATTCACATCTAACTCTAGTAAATCTGTTCGTCGGGTTTTGACTCAGAGACCTGGAGGTTGAGAACCGGTGTCTCTCCATTACACAACAGATCAAAAACAGAAGCTGTTCCTTTTTCAAACTTATGCCACATGTATTATGCTAAACATTAGAATAACTATTCAGAATATGACTTTTTGAGACTTTATTAATTATATTGCTTGATCCAAGTTTAAGGACATTTTCAATCATTACATGTATTATCATTTATAACTTTAAATGAAAGTCTCATCCCTTTAACTGTAACTCTTTAAATTCAGAAATATTATAATACCCATCATATCAATATACTAAGATATACAGTACATGTATGCACATAACATTAATAATTCCCAGTTTCTATTAAATAAATATGAAATCCTAACATTAACATGCTTTTGATGACCTTACAACTGGTAAATTTTATACAACAAAAATAGTATTATAAGTAATACCTAAGATAGACAGAAAAGAACAAATAATTTAGTAAACATGAGTTACTTCCCCTTAAAAAAGAGAAAACCTGAAACCCAAAAGAACACCCTAAACAGCAAATTTATGAAATGATGCAGGCTCAGTTTTATTAAGCCATGCAAATTAATGGTAAAGTATTCATAAAAGATTAGATGGCCATCTGACCAGCAGTAATTGCAGAAATCGGATAGCTTTTCAACATCCGGATACTGATACACTTTGTAAAAAAACCATTCTGCGCAACAGATAAACGTAATAAGGATAAAATCAATAGGATAATCGTTTACAACAGTTCCATTACCTACCCTTATACTCCTTTGCAGGTGAACTTTCTTCTTGTAGGAAATTTTTGAAAATATATAAATGAATGAATGAATGGATACGCATCAATGTAGACCACAACGATATTCGAAATCCGGGTTTAGTATTGTCAATAAAACTAAGGGACAAGCTGTTAAACTTAACCTGCAGTTTCGTGGAAATAATATCACAATGCACATGCTTTTTACATAAAGTTATTAAATACAAATATAACAACATATTTGTTTATTTGATTTTACGAATCAAAAATAAAACTAATTAAACACAACATGACATTAACTGCTAATAATAACAGCTCCTTCCATAGGCCAAAATAAAAGCATTCCATAAAGAGACGACGCCGCTCACGGCGTCGCCAAATAATAAGAACGAAGAAACTTGTATATAAATATTTTAAATTTCAATTGGGTCTTTATATAAATTATGGTTATTATTGTTTCCATCTTTAATGTGTTGATGGTTTATAGAAATAATATCACTAGCATATACATGTAAACAAGAGGGCCATGATGGCCCTATATCGCTCACCTTAAGGAATAGATCTTAACTGGATTTTTCTTATTTAAAACAAGCAACATAGCATTCAAAGTATAAGTTTGAAAGGTTAAAAACGAATCCTAATGATTTCTTTTTCATATTAATTCTATAAAAAGTAAAATTATGTTATTCTCATGATTAAACGGCTGAGTCTTGAAACATCTGTAACATGGAATGTCTCTGCTAGTTTTAACCATCTTTCAATGATTGTTTGAATGAGCCATTTGCTCTTTAAGCATTAAACAGGCATATTTCCTTCATACAATTTTTTATTGTTGAAATATTCTTTTCCAAAATTCAAACACTAATTTTTCAGCAAATATATTGTTTATACACTTGAAAGACAAATATAATTTTGAATAATAAATAAAAATCGTATTTTATTCATGCATACCTTTTTTCAGGAATTTCAATTTTGATCTTAAAAGTATAACTTACTATTAATGGATTGTCGGTAGCTGGATTGCTGAGGGCTATTTACACTGACCGAACTGGTGCTTCTTCCGAAACGGACTGCAAAGAATGAATGGTTTAGATCGTTTTCACAAGACCCGCCTCCGTGTCGAGGGTTAGAAGCCCTGTACTTCTAATGAGAGGTACCCTCCCTGCGTGGGTGGTTCGATCCGGAAGAGCACTTGGTAGTTTAGCGGCGGGGGGGAAACGTAGTCCAGTAACTGGTGAACTCCAGGAACCGATGGTATGAAACTAACCTTCCCCCTAAATAGTACGAACACTGTGAATAAAAGGGCGTAAAATAAAAATCAAACAAAACAAAAAGCAAAGCAACAGATGTTTCACGCACTGCAAAGTTAAGTCTTGCAGACTTGTTACAAATTTCCCATGAAAAATAATTATGCATAGCTAACTATGTCCTTTAAAAGCAACTTTTGGATAACATCGTCGATATACCTTGTCCGAAAAGTTGCACTTTGCAAAGCAACAGGTGCGCTTTTACACAGACTTTCATATACTCATCAAATTGAAAATTAACTATATCTGTTTGCATGATAGATATCACTTTACGCAGTAGTACATGAGGTGTGATTAATTATTCGGCAATTGAAAATCCTCACGATATAAATTTGAATAAATGTTAACAAGATGAATGACTTTTTAAATACTGGTGTAATTAATTGTAATGTCTCTGCTTACGTTGTATATTTCTTTATAACTTTTACCATGTGCTAGTATTCCCCTGTACATTCCTGCCTCAAAGAATATAATCGGTGAAAAATCTGTCAGTTTGTTTACCAATGAGTTGAAAATGATTGTGAAATCTTTATAACAGTATAAAATAACTTAAAATGTTATGATCAAGGTACAAGTTTGCGGACGGCGACAACAATTTTTCTTTTTTTACAAAAAGAAAAAAAAGTCGAACTAAAAAAAAGCATAGCTTCATTCTTTTTTCCTGGTAATTTGTCCGTACTGTTTGAAACTACATTTTGGATATAATTTTTATATTAATATATAGCTATCTATATATTTTCCTCATTCTGTCGCTTTTTTCGTGTAGTCGCTCCTTCACCCACGTCATACGAAATGGCTGAAATCAGCCACCATAGCAATTCGGTACATTGTTATTAGTAAAGAAGGTTTAAATTACGGCTTTTATTACGAACAAAAACTATTTGTAACGTATCATTAAGCTTTTGTTAACATATTGATTTTGTGTTTGGGTAAATTGTTTGTAGACAATGCATGTACATATTTTATTTTATGTGTTTGGAAAATTTAAACAATTATGAACGTATTACTTACGAATAAATAAAGCTGTTGATGAAAGAGTATTTTTATTATTTTAATCCATTTTTAGTGTTTTATTCATCTAAGATTTGTGGAAATGGATCAAGAACAGGTACGAATTCATTAAATACTTATCTTTATTTGTTAGCAGTTGAAACATTTTATATCAGAATAATTGATTATTGATTATATATACATGTATATAAATATATATCGATTTTTTAACATTTCAATAAATAAATTATGAAACTATGAAAGAAAAATATATTTCACTTATTTACAAAAATTTCGATTATATGAAGACATTACTAACATAACTATTTTTACCTAGTTAGCTAGTACTGAATAGATTCGGGTAGATCTTTGTATGTTTTGCAAGTGACTATCGTCTTCGTTTTGAACGTCGTGTATTATAAATTCATCCTTAAATTCATTTTTACAGGTTATAGAATTGAATGTTGGAGGAAAACTGCTCACGACGCATTATTTTACCTTGATGAAAGAATCTCCAACGAGGTTGTCTAAGATGTTTGAAAATCTAGAAAAGATTCCACGTGATAAACAATGTCGTTTCGTCATCGACTTTGACGGAGATATATTCGTGCATGTTCTCAACTATCTACGGACTGGTTCTCATCCCCCAAAGGATAAAGTTTTAGAGGTATATGAATGTGCCGAGTATTTCGGTATCAAATCCATGGTTGAAGCTTTGAGGTTTTACCAACCTGTTGTACGCAAGAATGAGATAACAGAATTGAAGAAAAGCTTCAACAACGAACAATATGAAGTATTAAAACAACACGCTGTGGAAACCCTAAATGGAATGTTCCATCCGGGGAAAATAACTTTTTTTGTGTTTGTCACTTCGCCAAACAACTGCTCACAGATCTATCAAAATAATGGCAAGACGTATGTACATTCGTTTTCGTTTCATAATCCATGTTTGATTGTAAAACCTTTATTTCTTCACTTAGAAAAGTTCGCATGTGGTTTACTTCTGTCAAGTATCACTGAAGAACCGAAAGTAATAAGATGCCTTGGGTACGATCTGTGTGAACTAGGCTTTGGTAATATTCCATATTATTCATTAATTCAATTAAACTGTAAAAACTGTGGGTCTTTTCAAGCCAAAATACTTTACCTTAGACAAAAGCTTTTACAGGAACGTGATAAGAACGAGAACTACTGGAAGTCATACATAAAGTTACAGAACTGTAAAGTGAGTGGCTTACATAAAGCATTTATTTAAAACTATAAACTAAATTTTTGGTTTTGGTGATTTTTTCAATATACACAAGAGCCATGTTAGCATGCCCATCCCCCGCCAATGTGTTTGCTCATTGGAAGAATGTGCAGAATAATTCAATAAAAGAGGTTTTTTTGGTAATGAAAACTGATGGCTGAAGTGATTACAGATTTGAAACCTATGTGAATACTGATGGCTGAAAATAACAAAGGCCAATAACTGAAAACAATGCGGGGTAGGTTATCATTCATGTGTGCTGCACTCCTCCTCAATAAGATCTATCCACCTACGAAGTTTGATGTTGACATGTCAAAGACTTTTTGAGATAAGCTTCGGACAAAAATGTTGGTCGAAAGGACAGACGGACGGAGATTTTTTCTATAGATGTTGAATTGAACTTGAATAAGTGTATTGTCTAAATGTTTATATGAATGAAAATGTTTTATATAATTACGCATTTAATCATTAAGGTAACGCTGATTTTGTGGACGAAGCACTGATGACCACATATACAATGAATGCTTCCTTACAGTATTATACTATAAAAAATTATTTCGACAACATTTTCAAAAAATTAATAAACAATCAAACGAGTTTTTGTAGAGGAAAAAAAAAATACTATTACACTTTAGTTGCTTAATTTCAGTATTTTACTCGTATATAACAATTAATTCTACAATGATTACAAAAATATAAACAATCAATTGAATTTTTGTGCAATAAATACAGATGAAAATTTGATAACAGAAACTGCAGTTATTTATGATAGGAGTTAAAATATACTTTTTTCTGGCTTATGTTTTTTATTTGATATACTTCATATTTTATGGAACGATTTACTTACTGTGTTTTAGTTTTCTATATAATTTCACAAGCTTGCGTTACAGGATATACACCGTGATGGGTAATTGTCAATATACACAAGAAATAAGAATAAAATTTATTTTGTAATGCTGCATTTCATTAGCAAAAGGACAGGTATGTTGTTATAGACATGTATGAACGTTTTATGTGATATGTACTGAAAAAAATACTGACCGGGGTTTAATCTAAACTACCTACCATTTCTTGCACCGCTCATAAAAAGCTCATACAAAGCTTGCACAACTTGGCACTAACCTTCATATACGTCTTTTTCATACTATAAAACACAATTATGGAAGATTTTTAACACAACCTCATAATGGTATTTTGTCTCGACTCATTAACACCTTTATATTTAGAACCAAAATCAAAGTACGTACATGTGTGTCTACTAATAAATCAAACGACAAAAACAGGGCTGCCAAAAATCATAGGTAAACTAGAACTATCACTAAATGTGATTAATACCCCCACAAGACTGCTTCGGAAATGAGGATGTTACTAGTAACAGAATACCTTGTAAAAGAATTGAAATATAGAGTTATGGTTGTGGGCAATTAAAGATAGTTATTGTTCTTGTATGTTGCATTTCCTTTCAATGTGGTTGGCCATTGATGAAGTTTAATTGAATTACTCTGTAATAAGTCCAGAAAGACAAAGAAAAGGAACAAAGGGCAAAAAATCTATAAATACTGAAGATAGAGTTATAGTTCTTATGACTGCACTTCCTCTTATTGTGCTTGACCATTGTATGAATTTATTTTGAATTCCAACCAGTACGTTTTAAGTTATGCTCCGGACAAGGAAAAGTATCAAAGGGCAGTAACTGTATTTTGTCAAAATGGAGTTATGGCTCTTGTGCACTGCACTTCCTTTTAATGTCCTTGACAACTGTATGAAGTTGTACTGAATTCCAAACAGTAATTTTCAAGTTATGCTCTGGACAAGGAAAAGTAACAAAGGGCAATAACTCTGTAATTAGTCAAGATGGAGTTATGGTTCTTGTGCACTGCACTTCCCTCTTATTGTGCTTGACCATTGTATGAAGTTGTTTTGAATTCCAACCAGTAGTTTTCAAGTCATGCTCTGGACAAGGAAAATTAACAAAGGGCAGTAACTCTGTAATTAGTCAAGATGGAGTTATGGTTCTTGTGCACTGCACTTTCTCTCAATGTGCTTGACCATAGTATGAAGATATAATGAATTTCAAAAATTAGTCTTCAAGTTATGGTCTGGACAAAAGAAAGCAATGGAGAAAACGAAGGGCAATAACTCTGTAGTTACTTTAGATAGAGTTATGGTTCTTGTGCACTGCACTTTCCCTTATTGTGTTTGACAATTGTATGAAGTTGTTTTGAATTCCAACCGGTAGTTTTAAAGTTATGCCCCTGACATGGAAAAATAACAAAGGGCAATTACTCTGTAATTAGTCAAGATAGAGTTATGGTTCTTGTGCACTGCACTTCCTCTCAATGTGCATGACCATTGTGTGTAGTTGAATTCCAACCATTAGTCTTCAAGTTATGCTCCGAACAAGGAAAATGCACGGACGTCTGGACCGACCGACAACCGGGTGACTCCTATATACCCCCCCTCTCAAACTTCGTTTTAGGGGGTATAATAAAAATTTAACTTACGGCGTAAGAGCGATATTATAGCGAAAATGTGCAATATCCAAACACATTTTTTTATTTTGATAAACAATATTTGATGTATTAATTTAAAAAAAAATCAACAAAAAAACAGTATTTCATATTATAATTTTTTGATAAAAAGAGAAAAGAAAAAGTAAAAACAACTGCACAACATTACTGACAATTGTTTTAAAAGTAACCATATTAATTTGATTGTTTGATGAGTTATTAAAATTGTCAGTTAAGATATTAGAATTATAGCATGTACGTCAATCTGGTAGAAAAGGTATAAACAGGCAGTTTTTTTATCATTTACTTACTGAACAAGTGCATTAAACACAACACCATGTCATCACTGGAGAGATAAATGAATATGGCTACTACCCTCTACAGCAGGAAATGCAGGGCGGTACTTAAGCTGCAGGAGATGGACAAAATACGGAGGGAGGAAATATATGAGCGCATTCGGTATACATACCCGTGTAATCCGTGGTTGTTTACCCAGTGTAACTCGAGGTACTCGAGTAATAAATTTTGTCCGAACAGTTATTGGGTAAGTCAAGATGGCTGACAAACATCGGAAAAAGAAAATGATAATAGCATTAGCTATTAAAAAACTTCTTGATGCTTACAACACCAAAGCATTGTTCTTCCTCATGACACACAATGACCCAGTGATAAGTACATGTACAAGACTCTTGATGCGACGCGACAGCGTACCGCGCATAAGACGGTATGTAGAATCGGTAGTACCAAGATACAGTTTAAGCGACTTCAAAAGTCATTTTCGCCTAGAAAGAAGCTCATTTGAACTAATATGTGTAGCCATTGGTAGACATTTTAAAAGACAAAAGGGGAGCACACCATTGCCGGTGGAGAAACAACTTTTAATTTTTCTGTGGTTCATGGGTAATAATTTTCTTGTTCTGCTTGGTTTGAAAAAAAAACAGTACTAAAACAAAAACATTTATTACACTAACTTAAATGTCTGTATTGCATTTTATTGAATTGTGAAAATATATTACATTCAAAGAACAAATTAATGTTGGCCCGGGATATTTAAATACATGCATGCTCTCGTTATAGGTTATTGATACTCTTCAACAGTTCTATGAGTATATATATGTATAAAGGATAAAACACTACTTTTAACTGCACAATATTTTCATTTTATTTTACTTTATCAATTTTATACCACCAGATGAAACATCGTAAATGTTTTTTTTTTATATTTTAATTACAAGTAAAGGAAAAGTAAGGTTTTACCGAGGTGTGATTGACGAACGAGCACTTAAACTTTAATATTTGCCTCATTTAAATGTGATCGATTATTAACGGTGTTTGCAATCGTCATCCAATAACAGTACAATTTAAAATTTGCTATTTAACTTCATAAGTTTAGTCCTCCTAAAATATTTTGAAAATTACAAATTTTCTGAATTACAGAATTGACAGGCAACATACGGTGGCTAAATTACACCATTTTTCATGACGAGAGAGGCATTCTGTAACACTAATCAATTTTACATACTGAAAAATGCAAGAAAAAAGTGTGCCTCACTTGAAAATTATTTGTGGAATCCACCAGTTTCAAGCGTTATCTGGCATTCAAAAACGCGACTTAGGACCAGCCGTCCTGCATATACAGCCCCAGGCCTATAAATCATTCAACAATTGTCGATTGGTTATAAAACTATATATGTGTCCATTTATATATATATTTATATACATTTGTACCTTCTATCGCAGAATGATTTGTTTTGTGCAAATTAATCACTGTACAATGAACTGTTCACTTACTCATATGCAATACAGTGTTCAATTATTTCTAATGTACCGCTTATGGGCAACCAAAGAACAATGTCTTATGGGCATCTCCACAATACTTAAATACTGCTGTGGCATGTTGAAGAACAAACATTAATCACATCATAATTATTTATTTTCAGGAACACATGATAGTTTTCGGTCACTAGCAGACAGGTTTGGGGTATCAACATCTACCGCACACACATGCTGTGGGAATATCGCACGGAAAATAAGTTTGCATTTAGTGAAGCGATTTATAAAGTGGCCACGGAATGAAGCCCTGGACTCGGTAACTCAGGGATTTTTGGAAAAATGCAAGCTTCCGGGTGTAGTTGGTGCAATAGATGCATGTCATGTTCGAATTACAGCTCCTCAAATTAATCCAGAATCCTATTACAACCGAAAGAAATTTCATTCAGTTAATCTTCAAGCAGTAAGCGATAATCGTCTCTTGTTTCTCGATATATTTGTTGGCTGGCCTGGCAGCAGTCACGATGCACGAGTTTTCAAAAACTCGCCACTCTTTTTAGAAACTGCTGAAAATGCTATACCCTGCAACAAGTATATACTTGGAGACGCAGCATACCCACTACTACCTTGGCTGATGACACCATTTAAAGATTACGGAACTCTATCAAGAGAAAAGCAAAACTACAACAAGCAGCACAGCAGGGGCAGACAGGTTGTAGAACGTGCATTTGGCCAACTGAAAGGAAGATTTAGACGTTTGACACTGTTTTATGTACACAAAATAGAGCTGTTAGTTTACTGTATAGTAGCTGTATGCGTTCTCCATAATGTCTGCATCCTTAACGACGATGAAATAAATGATTTCTGTGAAGAACCCGATATAAATGTGTATGATGAACTAAATGAAGACAGAGAAAGTGGAATCCTATTTAGAGATGACCTTGTCCGATATCTTTCGCAGTGACCATTTACCATTTTACTAGAACTATAGAGTAAATTCTTATTAATATACTTTGAACGAAAGTGTGAAATAATTAAATCAATTGGTTTATAGCAATACGCTTAATGTATATCCACCTGTCGTATTCTGATATGTATTATCTGATATTCAATATTAAAGTTCTCGTAACTCAAAATTTTAATGGTTTAATATAATTTATCTTTTGCTCAAATAAAGAATCATCATTGTTACGAAAGCATTTTAGTAACACAAACACGCACGCAAGCGCGCACACACAGAAACCCCCCTCTCTCTTAATTGTATTTAAATTCCTTAATTTTCTCAACACAAAAAAAATTAAGGAGAGAGATGACCTTGTAGTAAAGATGTCTGCTTCTCAATTAGTTGATCGAGGGTTAAAGCCCTACTGAGGTCACAACCATGTTTCTTTTGACACGGTCACACCAGTACCGGATAGTTCCAGGAAGTGGATTCAATATGTTCAGATAAGCTCCGAGCTTCCTTTACAAGCAAACTGAATATGTGGATTAATAAAAAACATACTAACACGTTTTATTACGCCTTTTTCAACTATTTCAATTATATAGGTGGGAGGTTTCCTAACCATCATTCCTGGAGAGTAACACAAGTACTACAATCATATCTTGTACATCAAGGCATCTCTCAGGAATCGAAACCATGCCAGAGAAGTCGTCAGCGACTCTAATAACTAGACCCCTGAGTCAGTATAGATCATACATGATCAGTATCTCAACAACTTTACCAGAAATACTTCAGCAGGACTTTTACAAATCCCGCATAAAGTGTGGAGCGACAGACAGGGATGTGTTAGATTATAGATGTATTCCATGCCAGAACCTGCAATTTCGGGAGCAATATACAAAGAATATTGCAAGGGTTGAAACAGAATTTATTAAGAAGTTATAGAACATTACAATAAAACATGATTGTAAAAATGAAATAATTCAGGAAGGCATTGTTATGCAATGAACAAAGCTAAAAACAATGGGACCATTGGCCCCAGGTCACTCACCTGAGTACAGAATTATAATGGTGTAAACAAAACCAGGCCAAAACGTAGATCTAAGCTCTAGACCAAACACTTTCCAACAATAAGATTTTTGAAGTTTTTCCTATATTAGTCTATGTAAAATCAATTGACTTCCCAGGCGAGGCCAATATAGACCCTTGGGCCATAATTTGTACAATATTGGTAGAGGTCCACTAGAGAATGCTACACACCAAATATCTAAGCTCTAGGTGAAATAGTTCAGACAAGATTTTTAAAGTTTTTCCTATTGGTTGCCATAACGACCAGAATTTTCAATGGAATTTAATTTTTTTAACACCTTTGAAAGGGGATCACCTAAGGATCATTTCTGTAAAGTTTGTTTACAATTGGCCACGTGGTTCAGGAGGAGATGTTGTTTTAACAAATTGTTGATGACGGACGACGAACACTGAGCCATCACAATACCTCACCATGAGCACGTTGTGCTCAGGTGAGCTAAAAATATAGCAATTAAAGCAGCACGCCTTAAGATTTATTTCAATGTTCATGAAAATATAGTGTTAGTGTTTAGTAAAAATGTTTATTAAAAGTACAAATGACAAAGGCCAACTTACACAGAAATTACCTTAAATGTATCAAAAATACTTATTTAGGCCTTATTTTTGCAAATAAAGCTGAAAATTAGGGTGATATAGAACAATTTACTTTTTACTTACTACAAGTAAAATATTAGATGCCTTGCAACAAATTCAAGACAATTTAAAGAAAAATGTCACTTGTCCCGATTACAGCAAATGAAACCTTCCTTGAACAAAAATAAGTAAAAATAACGCTTTCTAACAAGGGATACTCAAAATGTATTTACATAGAACCTTTCCAATATACACACAGATTTTCTAAATTACGACTCTGCATTACATTTCACCTCATCTTCAAACTGTGATAATTTACAATTATTAATACATTTCTTCAGAAGCTTGATTGTTCATATTTTGATAAAATGAAAAACAGAAGCCTTCCTGGCAAAACAATATTTAACATAAACTCTTGTAATATGTGTTATACATATATTAAAAAAGCAAATAAACAAAATTCAAACATTTACTTTTTAACCTTTCCAATAGTTACCGTGATTTTCTATATGGGACACTAAACCTTCATTACAAACTGTAGTAGATTTACAACTTATCAATAAGTTTCTTCAATAAATTGTTTTGTTCACTGTTCATTTTTTCGATTACAGACAGCATTCTCTGGTCTCTTTCCTCCATCAATTCCTTCAACTCATTTACCATGCTTTTTCTGCGTGGACGCTTGGATTCAAAGGCTGGTGAAGAAACATCTGAACTCTCATCAGTTTCGTTGGCATCAAGATCAGTGCCTTCTACTTTATCCCCTGATCCAAATGTGCAAAGTGGTTTTACTGCCGGGTCGTCCCCAATAAGAGCATGCATCTCTTTTTCATATTTAAATGAGCACTTTCCACTTCCTGATTTCTTATTTTTATCTACATATGCTTTGTATGACCGTTTCATATATTTGTACCTGTCTATGCATTGTGTAACAGTAACATTGAAACCATGTGTTATGAGAACTTCCGCAATACCTGTCCATACTTTTGTTTTGTTTTTAGCCCCTTTCAGTTTTTCCACCTATTTCCATTCTCGTCAACAAACGCGGTTGAGGTTTCCGTCGATTCCGCCATATTGAATCTGCAAGTGGCAATATATTCGGATAGAATTACCCACTTTCCCGGCTTCTTGAGGTGGGTAGAATTTTGGTCACACGAGTAACATTACATGGGTAACACGAGTTGTACTAGAGCATTACCCGTGTTAACCCGTGTTAACTCGAGTAGGTATGCCGAACGCGCTCATTATAAGACAGTCGATTGAGAGAAGAGGAGAATGAAGTTGACTCCGGAGCGGGAGGTCCGGTCTCCCAAAATAGTTTGAGATAATGTTATTATCATCATTTGGAAGACTGGTCAACCGACCTAGATAATAATAGAGGAGTTTCGCCTCAATCTTAGCCAAAGCAAGAAGTGGGCAAGATAGAGTACTGCCCGACATGCAGGGGCACTCACACTCCTAGTGAGTGCAAGTAAATGGCATTAGCAAAATCAAACGGCCCTTATCAATGCCACCCAACTGTTTCGAAAAGAAATACCTCAGATTATTGTCACACAAATATAAAATTCATTATATCAGTCCCAATTTTTAAAAACAAGAGTGTCATGATGACCCTGAAATCACTTACCTGTATATAGACCCCTTGGCCAAGGCCAATTTAAAATCAAGGGCTTTTATTTGAACATAAATACATATACATATAGGGAAAAACAATGACCACCCCCCCCCCTCGGAGCCCAGGGCTTTTAATTGAACAAACTTGGTAGACACTCACTAGAAGATATTTCATGCTTAGTATCTAATCTTTAGCTCTTTGGGTTTTTTATAAGAATATTATGTAAGTTTTCACTATACACATATAAGGAAAAGCAATGACCCCCGGGACAGGGCCAATTTTAACCTTAGGGCCCTTATTTGAACAAACTTGGTAGACACACATCATGCTAAAAAAATCTGACAATATCATGATAAAGAAACTTCTTTTGCGATTTCATGATATACTAAAAACAAAATATGTTATACATGCTATACATAAACTCGTATCATCTGAATGGTGAGCAAATTGGGACAATGCCGTTGTGTCACCACCTCTATCTCTGTCAAACCGCAGTGATAAAACAGTTCTTCTTCGATGCCGAATTGGACACACTAAAATTACCCACTCTTATCTCCTCACAAATGACAATGCCCCTTTCTGTGTAGGTTGTAATGAAAATTTTACTGTCAAGCATTTTCTTCTTGAATGTCATGATTTTTCACAGGCCCGTTATAGATTTTATTCTGTAAATTCACTCAAAAACCTTTTTAATACAATTCCATCAAAAAACATAATTGATTATTTGAAAGAGATAAACTTGTATTCTTGGATCTAATTGGTTCATTTCTATTGTCATTTACAAAGTTTTACATAACATTTGAGCCTATTATAGCGTTCGGCACGATATGGGCAGTTATGTGTTGACGTGCCGTAAAAATCCAAACAAACAAACAAGCATAGATTTAAAAATAAGCATATACTTATTTTAAGTGATAGTTCAACATCAGTGTGCTACATTAATAACATTGGTGGCATTAAGTCAGTTCAGTGTAATAAGATTGCAATTGAGATTTGGGAAATTTGTATCAAAAATAACATTTTGATAACTTGTTCCCATATAGCCGGGGTGGATAATCAGGCAGACAAGCCTTCACGGCAATTTAATGAGCAATTAGAATGGAATTAAATACAGGAGGTTTTGAACAAACTTGTAAAAAAATGACAGCTACCAGACATTGATTTATATGCTTCCAGACTGAATACAAAGTTACTTATTTATTGTGCTTGGAAACCAGATCCAGATGCAAAATATTTTGATGCTAGTAGTCTGTTTATATATTTTGTCCTTTCAGTTTAGTGAGCCGATGCATTCAAAAGATAACAGTCGACAAAGCAAAATGAATATATTGGTAGCTCCACTTTGGCCTACTCAACCATGGTTTACGGCGTTAATTAGAATTTTAGTGGACAAGCTTGTACTTCTATCCCATTTGGAAAATCTTTTAACAAAACGATTTAAGCAAAAGTTCATCCTCTGAAGTTAACATTGATTGCATGCAAGGTATCGGGAATCCTTTAGTAGCCAAGGCTTTTCTAGACAAGCTACAAACACCCTCATGTCAGCTTGGCGAAAATCTACCAAATACCAATACAAAATATATATTAAACGCTGGTTTCAGTACTGCACTGAACGGAAAATTGATCTAATGTCAGTGTCTAAAAATGATGTGATTGAATGTTTGACAACACAGTACGGAAAAGGTTAAGGCTACAGTTCATTGAATACAGCTAGATCATCATTAAGTTCTCTTGGTATAATGTAAGATACCCATCAAGCAGGTAGTCATCCACTTATTGTACGATTTGTGAAAGGTGTGGACAATAGTAGTCTATGAGTATAGAATTATGAGGGATTAAATGCCTCCCTCCCTACCTACAAAATATTCGAATGTTTAAACATAGAATAACTAACTTTTGTAGAAATGGGAAAAAATATGCTTTAAATACTGATGCGCATGCGCGAGCACAATCTCATTTAATCCCTCAATATTCTATACTCATAGAATTATAATTGAACTTCAACTTCCTAAAGTAAGTTTCGTTTTAATTTCAAATTATAAATAATATCAATATAGTGAATTAAGTTACATCTTTTGAAATTGGAAAATAGTTGTACTTTACCTTGCCAATGAATCATGGAATACAAACTGTAACATATGTGTAGCCATTAAAGTTTTTTCATCCCATCAGAAATATTTTTATATTGTTATTTGTCTCTTCCGTTTTTTTGTCTCGCCCGTTTTTATCATTTCAACTATTTCCAAGCTGTCTTTTTTACATATGATAAGATAATCTCGAAAAGCAATTTTATCATTTAATGTTATTCCGTGTATGCCAAATTCCGAAAGCTTCATACCGCATCTATTCCAAATTATCACAGTTAAATCCAGGACTTTGTTTGAATGAATTTTTATAACATTGAAGGGTTGGTCTAGATAGGAATACTTAAAGCGGCCTTCAGCTTTTCTAAAGGTTAAATTTATTTTTAGATAAATCGTTTCATATAATTGTCATATCAAGAAAATAAGGTGGAAATGAATTTGACAACTATAAAATACATTTACAATAACGAAACCGTCGATACCGGTCCGCTCTCTATATTTAAATTAGTTAAGCGGACGAT